CCACGCTTGGAACCATGCAGCTTATGGGAAGGTGCGGTTTTCTGTGGATTTTTCTTTAATAGCCAGGGGGTTGAAGTTAAAGTTGGAAAACACAAAAGTAAGACAAGAAGCATGTTTTACTTTTACATAAGTTGTACTGTCCTATAGTAAAAATACTCTTAATTTAGTATAATTTTTGGCTACTCTACCCACCTCCTTGGTGCAGGTGGAGAAAAAGTAGAACGAGATTGGTTATGGAACTCAGAAAAAAAACAACAAAATCTATTGTTGATGCTAAAACTGTTGAAATGTCTCATAGCTGGACATTGTAAGTGACCGTGGGTGTGTTTGTGATTTCAGCGTCCTCCAAGGACCTAGTTTACCTTGACTGGGTCCTTTTAGGGCCGTGAAAATAAGGAGATTGGCTCTGTATTCAGACAGGTCCAGCCTTCTCCGGCCACACTGACTGGGGTGCTGGATTGTCTAGAGTTTGAGTTGGGTAATTGTATAGGGAAAAGGTTTGACAACAACTCTTATATGAGGGGAATACACAAGGTTGTACAACCTTTAATACAACAGGTGTCCAAAGGCTCTGTTTATTCCCTGCAGTGGCTCCAGCATAAATATTTTGTTATGTGATGCAGGCTCATCCAACAGAGTGCCTCACCTTCTTTGGCACTCTTCAAATAATGTTAACCCTTTTTTTGTCATCTGTGAAGAGGGTGGATATTTCCACAGAATGTGTTGATATCCCACATCAGAGTCTCCAAGTGACACCTGGTGGGACGCAAATCCAGATTCTATTAAAGCTGTAGGCTTCCAGTTGCACCAAACAAGTTTAAGGAAGAGGCAGAAGATAGCAAAATCGTCTTAGAGGCAAAGCCACTGTCAAACAAGATTGTGTTAGTGGAGTTAAGTTTGCCTCTTGGTTTGGTATGACTCATTGAGATCAACTTTGTAAGTATGGCACCAAAAAACCACAGATGGACACAGCAGTTAGACTGGTAGATTCTCTAAAAGAGTTTTTTGCTTAGGAGTAGAGCTGAAGGTTATCAGAAATTGATTTCAGGGATCGATTTCTTTGTTGAAACAGTTGTACAGAAGTTGTCAGGAAGGTTTTGCAATCTTCAGCTTGTGTCTGACAAATTTAAATTCATCACCGAAATGGAGCACAGAAATTCCAGAATAATTCAGAAATTATTTGAGAAATTTCTAAATGGACACAGCAATTAGACTGATAGATTTTCTAAAAGAGTTTTTGCTTAGGCATAGAGCCTAAGATGCTTAAACAGAAAGGTGTTAGGAAGCAAAATCTGTTTTCAGATAATGATTCCAGTGCTGGCCATCATAAAAAAAAAAGAAAAAAAAGGGATAAAATCCCAGTACATTTCAAACCAAACAAGACCCTTAAACAAAGACTAATGCATCCTAAAGACAAAACCCCAAGACCACATTTCAATGGAGTGGTGTATGCAATTCAATGCAGTGAGTAGTGCTCTGATCTTTATATTGGAGAAACCAAACATCCTCCCCACAGAAGCATGGCCCAACAAAGAAGAGCGACCTCCTCAGGACAAGACTTGGTGGTACATCTACGCCTTATGGACAAGGGACATTCTTTTAAGGACCATAATGTTTACATTTTGGACAAAAAAAAATAGGTGGTTTGAGAGGGGTGTGAAGGTAGTCATCTATGTTAAGAAAGAAAAACCAACCTTAAACAGAGGCGGCGACTCAAATTTCAGCTTTCAAAGACAGCGATACAGTTGATTCCTTTCTGCTATCATTGCGGCCCCTATCCCTATG